CAGTTTCTTCTAACATTGGTTAAATAAATAAATTAGCTAATCCTTAACAGAAAGTTCTCGTGGTGTAGTTGGTTATCACGTCAGTCTAACACACTGAAGGTCTCCGGTTCGAACCCGGACGAGAACATTTGGTGTTTTTTGTGTTTTTTCTCTCTTTAAACAAAGCAACACGCTTCCAATGTATCGAGAACCCATTGGGCTTTATTTAATGCCGGCCATGAAAAGAGTCTGAAAACGTTTGAAAATCTGTTATGTTTTGATGTGTGGGAAAATTTAAAATAAAAGATGTTTTGTTTTTTGAGTTTGTTCATCAACATTTTTATTTGAAAATTCACATTTATGCCTAAACTATCTTTTTAAATTTTAAAAATATTTTTTTTTTCAATTTTTTTTTTCGAAACATGTTAAAACAAAGGAATAAGACTTTCTATAAAAGTTGCAATTGTTGTTTGTTAATCGATAGATTTATAAAATTTTTTTTACTTTGTTCAGAAGACACTTACTGCATCTAAGCGTTATTCTCCTTTTGTTGTTATGACGAACCAACGACAATTTCAAAAATTCGTTGGGTATTTTGAAAAGAAGAGTACGATATGTTTTTCGGAATTAAACATAAATGCTGATGTTCAAAAGGTAGAGCACGATACTCAACTCGGCTCTGTATAATAAAAAAATATAATAATTAAAATCTAACAAAACGAAGAAAAACAAATTAATGTTAATATAAATTTAGTATATTAAATAGTTGTCAAAATAATAGAGATACAAATTTAGCAACTAAATGACATTAATGTTTGTTATAAAAAAACTGACGTTAATATTGTATTACTCAATTGTATATGTTTTTGTTATCCCTTGAGCGTTCCAATTACCATTGACAGTTTATTTTTATTTTTAAATATTCAGTGATTAGATAAAAAAAAATATGAAAAAGAAGGAGGATGTAGCTTCAAACTTGTGACATCAATCAAGCATCTCCCACTTATAAACCAATTGATCCAACAAATATTTTTGTAAATTAGTTACTAAAATGTGTTTAAATCTAATTAATGATTAAGGCATAATAGGCTTTTAATTTAAGTTAAAGTATATATATCACCAAATTTAGATAATAAAAGTATAGATGAACAAACTCCAATTTTTTTTTCCAATTTTTTTCATATTATTAAGAGTCTAAATATTTTAGGGAATTTTGGAAAAAAATCACTTTTGAAGTGTTATTTTTCAAAAATGCCACTTTTTCAAAATCTTTATAAAAATGCTACTTTTTCAAAA